TTTTTTAATAATATTAAAAATATCTGTATGACAGTATATTCTGCCGTTCTTCCCTGCTGTTCTGAATATCTTTACTTTTCAAAGTATCATATCGAAGTTAGAAATTCAAATATTGTGACAAAATGAATTTTGTAGGGTGCCACAAGTTTGTTAACATTTTCAAAGGGTGCCGCGACTAAAAAAAGGTTGGGGAACACTGATATCAACAATATATTTTTCTTGTTTTTCCACTGCTATGATCATATTTAACCACTGGATGGCACAATATTTTATAATACAACTTTCAAATAGACGCTAAGGTGAAATCCTCTTTTTAAAATAAACAAACTGACCAAATAATAGGACAAATAAATAAGTAGATTTTTTTGGGGGGGATGGGGCGTGCTATTTTGACAGAAGAAGATGAGATTCTTTTGAGAATGTTTGCCAGGAAGAAATAATATTATAGTGTTGTTATATAGTGTTAGTGTTATTTTGGACTATAAATATCTTAATGCAATGCAGGAAAAACATATCATTTTCTTTCTTCATTAATGGTATAAAAGATCTAGGCATTCACTGTACTTTGCTTTAGTTAGTCATAAAATAACTTGACACTGTAGTACCTCTGAAGTGATTATCTTTGTGGATGCAGCTGCCATTTATGTCACCACCCCCCTCCCCCATCACCAAATGCCTTGCCCAGGTGGTACAACCCTGTAATGACCTTATTTTGACACAACGCCAGCAATGCAAGCAGGAATTGTAGAGTCCAGTAGAAGCCTTCATGTTTGTCTTGCATGTAATGAGTCACAGAGTCCACAACATCCCAAAACTTGGTGGCCTCATCCCAACTTTTAGCTCCCAATACCCACATTTTATCACTTTTCTCCTCCTAAAATCAGTTTGTAGTTGTAGTACATTTAGTGACAATCCTGTGTATGAAAAGCACCTACCTGTTTTATTGTAGGAAATGAACCTTGTGACAGTACTAAGTTTCCCAAACTTGAATTTAGAAGGCCGCAGCTGTTTGTCAGTGACACATGAGCTTCCCTCTTGGAGATATGATACCATTGCCAACTCCCGGTGAGGGAGACAGAAATGGCTGCTGTTTAAATCACATCTTTAGACTACAGTGATGGACTACCAAAATAAACCCATGTGCCATACAAGAGCAAGAAAATCTCACTCACTGAGTGGAACACAACTTTCAATTTCCTCCATTTGTTTTAAGGAGTTTCAGTAAATGGTTTAGTAATGTATTTGCATAGATCTTGGCATTATTTAACTATTAACATACTTTCATGTATGAAAGCCATATCCAGGTAAATCTATATGAAATTAATACTTAAGTGTTTCAGATACAAAAATAATAACATCACTTTTAATATCTACAATAAAACATATTGCTGTATTTCTAGTTCCTGGGATTGTACCACAGCTGCCTGTAATATACATACATTTGGTGTTAGTTTATCTAGAAAGTCTGACGCATTACTCAAATTATTTTAACATGAGTAATATGTATATCGCATTCATGCTGTGAATTTTTGTCTGCCAGTGGTTGTTTCTTTTGCTGCTTGTCCAGAAGAGTTATTTTCATTTCACACTTTGTTCACTATTTTGATTTCAGTCCTTCTGACACACACACTTGTATTGCTTTGGCCAGTCTAGCTTTTTGCCTACAGACATTAAGCCCCGAATGACTCAGTGGGGTCTAACTGGGGACATGGTAGTCCACTATAAAGTGACTGTTCTGTTCCATAGCTAAACTGCCCTTGGATCTTTCACTATGCAGTGCATTTTCATTTTTAAAATGAAAACTACCAATTTGTTAAGACATTTTTCAAATATTTCTTTAGTTTTTTTTTCATTTTCTGTCTCTAATTGAAATTAGTTTTCTTGTGTAGTGAATTTATTGGTTTGTCCTGTACCTGCTATATCCTAATAGTCTTTTGTGATATCTTTTTAAGTAACACAAGCCAGTTCCATAATGATGACATCCTCCGGGAAGTGACATTTTTGGTGGGAAAATTAACTAAAATACTCTTATCTATTATTGTATTATTCTATTGTTTGTTATTTATCATGCTCTTAAATATTCCACCCTATTTGATAAAATGACAGAAGATGTGATGGCTAACTTAAGCTTTAATTGTCTTGTCATTGTATAAATGCTAAAGTTTTAATGCAGTTTAAGAGCCTGACTAGAGTGTGTTTCTTGGTATATTTTGTTTGATTGGTTAGGATCAGGGATTTATCCCACAGCTCTTTCCCTGCCCCCACTGGTCCCTTTTCACATTATACTTCTGGACGTGTTTGCATCAACGTGAATACCAACAGTAGTACTAGTGGCAGCTGTTTACCACTAACTAGGAAGCTGGCTTGGGAGGTGAAAACACCAGTTGTTGTTGTTTTATTGTCACTTTGAATTATTATCAAAATTTTACATTTGCAGAACTGCACATTGCTTTTTTTCTGCTGCAAATGCATTGCAAGATATGTAAAATATGCAAGATACTTTCAATGGCAAATCTTTTAGTAACAATACTATTCATACTATAATAAGTGTGACCAAGAGAAATGTAATACCAAATATCCGATCTCATACCAATACTTTACTGGAGTCCACATGAACTTTTGACCAAAAGTTGGACAGTAAATGGATCTTTCTTTTGTCTTTATTTCATTTATGGTTAATAATGATTACAATGAACAATGCTAAGAAAATTGTATTTATAATGATTGTTTTTAATAGCTTGTAATATCTGGCTTACATTTAAGGAAAATTAATTAAACACTGATGTATTTTTTTCCTTCCATTTTAGAACCACCAACTTTCCACAAAGTGCCAACACGGCGATGCTCACCTTTTGCAACAATTTGGTAAATGGTAAAAATATAAAAATAGTTAAGGCAAGATGTATATATTGATGTCAGAGAGTTGGTCTCTTGGTTTAGCTTGTAATGTGATTGTGATGAAGTGCCCACTCCTCCTTGGCACGTATGATCAGTCCTTTCACTCCTCTAACTGCAAGCTTATGTTAGCCTAAGGTTAATGCTTTCCGTTTTCATTGTATTCCGTGTCTCATCACCCAGATTTATAATATAGTCAGGTTTATTCATGTTTAAGGTTTAATAATCAGTCTGGATCATTGGTTTATCAGTATTTCACTATAATGGGAAATTGAGGCCATGTCAGGAGAATGTGAAAGTTATATTGCTTTCTGCAGGCTTATTTATCCTGTACCCTGTTAATGAGCTAATTTTACACTGAACAAAATTATAAACGCAACACTTTTGTTTTTGCCCCCATTTTTCATGAGCTGAACTCAAAGATCTAAGACTTTTTCTATGTACACAAAAGGGACCCCCAAATACAGTAAAACTGCACATTTTAGAGTGGCCTTTTATTGTGGCCAGCCTAAGGCACTCCTGTGCAATAATCATGCTGTTTAATCAGCATCTTGATATGCCACACCTGTGAGGTGGATGGATTATCTCGACAAAGGAGAAGTGCTCACTAACACAGATTTAGACAGATTTGTGAACAATATTTGAGAGAAATAGGCCTTTTGTGTACATAAAAAAGTCTTAGATCTTTGAGTTCAGCTCATGAAAAATGGGGGCAAAAAGAAAAGTGTTGTCTTTATAATTTTGTTCAGTATAGAATGAGAGACATTCTTATTGTAAAGACATGTATTTTAGAGTCAGCTAGAATTAATTTATGTGAAGAAAAAAAGTTCTTAATATTATGTTCTAGAATGGCATTATCATGCTAAGCTAAAGATTAAAAGCCACCAACTGTTTTGGACCTGAAGACATAAAATCTTTTAAATTATAATGAGTAAAAATACTTTTAGGAGCTTTTAGTGGTGCTGAATTTTACACAGTGGCTACAAACTCTTGTTGTTGCAAAAGCAGTGCATTTTAGAGCTTAAATTTACTTTTTTTCTTTAAAACGTCAACAGGGCCATTGAAACAAAGTTGTAAAATGTGATGTTTTGTTCATCAAGACTCCCTCAAATTTGGATGATTATAACAAATTTAAAAAATATGCAAGTTAGCAAGCATTCTGTTACCAGTATATCCGTCCCTAACAGTGGGGGTTGCCTTGCCTTGCCCTTCCTTTGAGTGACAGGGACAGCCAGTCTCTCCTTTTGGTCATCAACAGGTTAATGCCTGCCATAAGGGTTTTCAGCATTGCATGTCATTGAATGGGGCATGAGCATAATCGTTTACTTGCATGAACATTGAATCCACAAACCCAATGTAGTAAATAAACTCCAGAGTGAGAGGTATATCAAGCTTGCATTAACTTCTCGGAGGGGGACCACTGAGTAACAGGTGTGAAGTTGCATAAAATGCATCACTTTCCCATGATGCTTTGCACAGAGACCAATTGGGAGTGGCTTGTTAGTGATGATGCAGACTAGACTCGAGGTATATAAACTAAAACTACTATGTTAGCAGTTCTGAGCAGTTGGAGCATTCCCAGCCTTGCCTCGGGTGTAGGGATTGCAAGGGAAAAGCAAAACTACACGTTTAGACCCTGTGTAGTTTTGTTTTTTGGGTTATAACGGGGCCCAACCGTTCTCACCTTGGATTTTCTGGAAACATTTTGGATAAGAGGATTGTTGCTGAGGCACTAGCCACCTGGGTACAGTCCCATCAAGTGTAGGCAACCTTGTGATACAAGTAAGTGGCATTTACTCTGTAGAACACAGTCATTAAAACAAGTCTTTTTATAAGCTACAATCATCCATGCTTGCACACCTTTTTAAAGCAAAATAAAAGTGCTGCTGCTTACAATGTGCTATTTGATTGAGTATGAGATAGTCAGTCGGTGTTACTTTTATAAATCATAATAATGCTCAAAGAGCATATAAGAGCAAATAGCATAATGCTCAGAATACCCTGTGCTAGCATAAGAGTGGTGACCCAGCTGGGCCATGATGTCTTTTTAAGGGAATCAGCAGCAGAGATATCAGTTGCACCTCCAGCTATGTGCCACATGGTGAGTGTCAATCAAAGAAGGAATAGATTATTTTTGGATTTCTGCCATAGTGAATATCAGCCTTCACACATGATGCCATTTAGTCAGAATTAAATTTGTATTGGCATTTAAAAAAAAATTATTATTGATATTTATTACACGAATAGTTTGACTCTGTGATTGCGAGTCAATGCTTGTCCGCTCTCACCTGTTGGTTTCTTCCGTATAGCTAATGATGCAGATGGCTTAACTGCGAGTAAATTCTTTCTTTCTTTCTTTCTTTGTGTTAAGCAGTTGTAATGATCTTTATTTGTCTGTAATTATTAAATTATCTTGCTGTTTTAGTGTTTATATGAGATGAGTCTAAACACAAATTATATTTTGTATTATGTATGGGAAATATCTATATGATACACATGTGAAGCCTTTTGTAATGCTTGTATGTGGCGTCTTTGTAGATTATTAAACTTTTGGAGTGAAGTGCTTGTAACCATGTCAAAATGCTCATTTTCATGTTATTTTGGATACCCTAAACCGGAAATGGGTTGGGAAAATATTGTTGATTTTTTAACAATATTCCAGACAAAGTCTATGAGTAGGATAAGATTTTCAGTTACAGTGGGTACTTAAAGTATTCAGACCCCCTTAAATATATATATATAATTCTTGTAATTGGTAATCTTAATAAATTACATCATGATAATTTGAAACATCAGTTACATAGGTCCTATCCTGCTTTAAAATATCTTGGCGATCAGGACTTTTTAGTTAGTTATGTGTTTAGGTGTTTCATAGCGTTATCTTACAGCTCACAGTGCGCTGTTCACACATTTCTAACATATTCAATTGGGTGCTTGACCTGACACTCAACAGCTCTGCCATTCACAGTTCTCACAAATGACAGGCTGCTGATGGCCAGGTGTGGGTGGGGTGGGTCTTTTACAGCTAAAAATAGCTCACCTAATTTGTCAAGTAACATACACTGTAATGCTGTTGTGTATATATAATTGATTCAGTTGGCATTAAGCAATTATCTGTCTGTAATGTGGCATTCACTACTTGATTCTTTTTTTCCTAGGGTGCCTTCTACCATGTCAACACAAGCTCCAACATTTACACAGCCGCTTCAGAGCGTTGTGGCACTTGAGAGTAGTGCTGCAACGTTCGAGGCTCAAGTTAGTGGTAAGCACAGAAGAAAAAAGTACATACATACTGTATGTTTTGGCATTGATAAAGGGCTACCTGAGCTTTACTGATTGGGCTGTGGGGGTATATAAGACAAAAAGATTGGAAAACACTGGGTAAAATCGATTGTTTAATAATTTCTTCCACTATTTTTCTGTAGGTAATCCAGTTCCAGAGGTGAGCTGGTTTTGTGATGGCCAGGTTCTTACTGCTGCAGCTCTGCCCGGCGCTCAGATCTCATTCAGCGATGGCCGCGCTGTTCTGATGATCCCCGCCGTGACAGCCGCACACAGTGGAAGGTTTTCTGTGAGAGCCACCAATGGCGCAGGTAAGCAGTCATAGAAACAGCTGTGTACATTTCTGTCATTTTACTTTTTGTGCTAAACAAGTGTGTTTTTTTTGTTCGTCTCAAAGTGGAAACTGCGCCACCAAACTTCATTCAGAGACTACAGAGTGTAACTGTTAGACAAGGAAGCCAAGTGAGACTGGATGTTCGCGTTGCAGGAATCCCTACACCTGTGGTGAAGTTCTACAGAGAGGGAGCTGAGATTCAGAGCTCTGCTGACTTTCAGATTGTTCAAGACGGAGACCTTTACAGTTTGTTGATTGCTGAGGCCTTCCCAGAAGATTCTGGAACTTATTCTGTCAGTGCTTCTAACAGCAGTGGACGTACTACCTCTACAGCTGAACTTCTGGTTCAAGGTTTGATTTGATTTCCAAATTAAATAAATTAACTTGATATTTTTTTATATAGGGTAGGCCTATACTATATAAATATACATGTGAATGTATGTATGCATGTATCTTTTTTTATATGTGTATTTTTTACATTTCAGGTGAGGAGGTTGCAGTGCCTGCAAAGAAGACCAAGACTTTTGTTTCAACTTCTCAGATTTCACAGACTCGCCAGGCTAGAGTTGAAAAGGTAGTTAACATCCGACCTGAAGCTAACTGCCAAAGAACATGTTAACTCAGTGTTACATGTCCTTCACAGAGAATGGAGGCCTCCTTTGAGTCTGCAGCCATGATGGAAATGCAAATAGAGGATGGTGATTTGGCTCACAAGGCACCAACCCGTGTGCCTCCTAAGCTGACCTCCAAGTCCCCAACCCCACCGGGAGGAGTGTCAAAGGTCGCAGCTATGCGCCATCAGTCACCTTCCCCTGTGAGGCCTGTTAAAGCCCCCATTCACACACCTCACAGGTGAAGTATACTTTCAACACCATTACTACTTTTTAGTAGATACCTTTACACATACCAATACCTTGTATGAGTGCACATATTCTAAATAAATTAACTGAGATCAATAGTGACATGTAATGTTTCCTTACCCACACTTATGAAAAAGTAAGTGCAATGATGATGTAATAAATGTGTGTTCTGTGCAACAAATGTTAACTTATCTTTACAGTAAATTAAACCTCTTTCTTATGTAGCATTTGTCCTTTGTTAATTCTTTTTCCCCCCTTGTCTTATTTTTAGGCCTGTTTCCCCTTCAAGACTGTCCGTGTCCCCTATCAGACCAGTCAAGTCCCCAATGACTACACTCAAACAAGTCGCACAGGGTGCAGATGTACTGCCTCCATGGAAGCAGGAGGGTTTAGTAGGAGAATCTAGTTATACCAGCATGACTACTGGGGCCTCGTATGTCCAGACCTCCTCCACATTTGTCCACAAGGAGCAGCATTGGGAAGGTTCTTTTGCTATGCAACAACAAGCTGGTGGATTTGCTGTCAAAGAGGTAGGTCTATTTTTTGCAACTATGAGTAGGTAAAAAGTGGCATTTTGTCTTTGTGATAATATGAAAGGGAAAATATTAATTACTTGAAGTTTTAAGTAAGTAATGAGTAACTACATTTTAAGTAAGAAATACAAAAATGCATTGAATAGAAATGTACCAAAAAACATGACAATGCTGCATTGTGTGTGGTCACTGACAAAAGCTCATTTGAAGCTATTTCAGATCATTTGTCTTCTACTGCAAACAGATTGAGATTAAAAGGAGACCACACACAAATTAATGAGACTACTGTTAACCTGAAGTGTAAATGAAACCACGTCAGATCCAGTGGGGGCAGGAACGAATGTTTTCACACCTCATTGTCACACCTTAAATAGTCACGCTTTATTTTGCATGTTAGCCCAGCAAGTTTCACCAACTTGCCATTTTGTGGTTTTGTAACTGATATTTAACATCAATTGGCAATACATTTTCATAAAGATTTTCTTCCATCTGAATAGATGTGTGATTGTTGCATACTATTTAACCACTTTCATCACAAAAGACAATAATTCTAATATAGTAAATCCGCTGTTAAAGGGGTAGTTCACCCAAAAATGAAAATGTGATGTTTATCTGCTTACCCCCAGGGCATCCAAAATGTAGGTGACTTTGTTTCTTTAGTAGAACACAAACGAAGATTTTTAACTCAAACCGTTGCAGTCTGTCAGTCTTATGATGGAAGTGAATGGGAATCATGGCTTTGAGAGTCAAAAAAGCATACACAAACAAAACCAAATTAAACCCTGCGGCTCGTGACTATACATTGATGTGTAAAGACACGAAACGATCGGTCTGTGCAAGAAACTGAACAGTATTTATATGTTTTTTTTACCTCTGATTCATTGCAATGTCTGAACTGTCCTGAGCGCGTTCTCAACAGCCGGCGCCTGACGTGTCGTCTTCTTGCTTTACGGCAGATCTCAGACTTATCTATCTCTCATATATATCTTATCTTTCTCTCTTATACCTATCTCTCAAATGGACCACTGACACTCTATCTACAATCTCAATTAGGAGTGTCAATGGTCCATTTGAGAGATAGGTGGCGGTAATGCACTTATAAGTCTGAGATCCGCCATAAAGCAAGAAGAAGATGCGTCAGGCGCCGGCTGTCGAGGACGTGCTCAGGACAGTTCAGACATTGCAGTGCATCAGAGGTAAAAACGATATAAATACTGTTCAGTTTCTTGCACAGACTGATCGTTTCGTGTCTTTACACATCAATGTATAGTCACGAGCCGCAGGGTTTAATTTGGTTTTGTTTGTGTATGTTTTTTTGACTCTCAAAGCCGTGATTCCCATTCACTTCCATTATAAGACTGACAGACTGCAACGGTTTGAGTTAAAAATCTTAGTTTGTGTTCTACTGAAGAAACAAAGTCACCTACATCTTGGATGCCCTGGGGGTAAGCAGATAAACATCACATTTTCATTTTTGGGTGAATGATCCCTTTAACCTATTTTTTGTAGTGTACATCATCACAGATGGTATTTGCTCTATGTGCACCCTTTTAATTACAGCTTCTTACTCTTGAAGTGGGAAAAATGTGTATGCCTACAGTTGTTTCTTTTCTTGGTTGGACAGAAGTCTGTGCCTAGAGTATATGTAGACTGAGGGTGTAAATTGAAGAGGAGTTTTTAGAAGTTGATTACCTGTATTTTTTAGAAAATACAAATACAAATAGATTTAGTACTTACAGAATTTAATCAATCATGGTTGTTTTGAATCTCCTAAATAGAGGTAGATATGAATAGTTACAATAATAAATAATTTTTTTTATATTTTACCCTCTTGAAAATAGATTTGGGAAGTTTTAGCCTGCATGAATGTGTAACAGATAACTGAAAATGTCCTGTTTTGTCAATAAAAGAATAGTAGCTAAAAGTGAGACTGATTTAGTTGGTGTATTTAAGATGACAGTAATGGATGTGGACAGATGCTGAGCTCTAGAGATAGCTTGTGTCATGTGATGGTCTTATAATAGAATGATAATATAAGGGTGCCAAGAATCAGTCACTGTTTGCCTGACATGAAACTATTTTACCAGTGTACAAAAAAAATATTCTTTGACTTTAATCCTAGGATTCAACCTTACATTGATCATTAGTGTATGTTTTATGTATTATTATTATTATACTAAATATTAATCAATTACAATTCAGCTTTATATATATATATATATATATATATATATTCATTAGGTATAATAGCATAGTTTATGGTGGTTGCAAAAAGATGCTGACACATTTACAGGGGCATCACACAATCTTATGCTGTTTTTTGTGTGTGTGTGTGTGTAGATTCATGTAGTTAATCTGACTGAAATCACTCTGAATGAATGCAACTACAATATTGCCCCCTGCTTTTTGTCCATTGTAAACACAAGCTGTTCTGTAAAGATCTCACCTGCTTCACTGGGGAATCATGCTCTTTCACCATCTTTTCTCTTTTATCCATCAATCATTGTGTCATATAACTGTTACGAACTGCTGATTTGTATTTGCTCTTCTATTTCAACCCCACAAGCCTGAAAAGGCGTGAATGAAAAAGCTGCAAGAAAGATTAAAAATAATAATAATACTTTAATAATTTATGCATTCGATTTGTTTCTTTTTGCAATCCAGATTGTTGAGACTGCAGCAATCCCATCCCTCACAAAAGAGCAAGTGATGCCTCCAACTATTGTGGCTGTGAGTTAATGAGCACTCAGTAATTTTTCCTCATTAAAAACTTATGTACACATGAAAGTATTAGTGTAAGTCCAATATGACTACTATTTTGGATGGTATAAATTATAGAGTGCACCAATATGTGTCAGATAGCTTGTAAAGTTTAAATATTTAATTCTGTTTTGACTTTGTCTAGGGTTTGAAGAATGTGACTGTCACAGAGGGAGAGTCTGTCACTCTGGAGTGTCAGATTTCAGGCCACCCTACCCCAGCCATTATGTGGTTCAGAGAGGATTACAGAATTGAGAACTCAATTGACTTCCAGATCACTTATGAAAACTGCTATGCCCACTTGGTGATCCGTGAGGCCTTTGCTGAAGATAGTGGCCGCTTCACTTGCACTGCTACCAGTGAGGCTGGAACTATCAGCACCTCTTGCTACCTACTTGTTAAAGGTAACAGATCATGAAATTTGTCTTAAAATGATATTACCTGTGTGATTGCAACCTGATTTGTACTGTTCAATTTTCATCTTCAGTGTCAGAAGACATTGAAAGTCGGGAGGATTTTTCTACTGTTTCTGAACACATTGAAATGTCTGCAAGACAGTAAGTTTATGGAAATCTTTGTGGTGTTATACTATATTAAATAGTATAATATTTGCAGTCTGAATCCTTGGTGTTTAAAAACAGGGTTACAGTTGAAGCCAAAGAGGAGACCATGTCAGAAATAAGTGCTGTCTCCGAGTCTGTGGAGGCTGGAGCAGGTGTTGCCCCA